GTTCAAACAAACCGCAGCGCAATTGCGGGTGTGGGAATCACATGGTCAAGAATACAATGTGGTTTGCCTGCGAATGAGTTTTTAAAAAGGGGTCGCCATGCCCGAGCAAACGCGTGCCGCATGGCCCGCACTAGTGTGAACCAGGGCTTCTGGGAAAAAAAGCAAATCTAAGTGTGGAGGTGGTTTTGGTTTGGGAAAAATCATACCGATTGTAATGACACCTGTTTAATACATCTGGAATAACATTCAAGTAGCAAATCTGTACAAAATTTTAAGGGCTTTTGAACAAAATTGGCGTGGTCATAGACCACAGACAACACGAATGTAAACAATGCCATGCCTACAATGGCCTTGGCTTGGAATGACACAGGAGAAGAAAAGTCACAGATAAGAGGTGACATATTCAGCATTGCTTGGGAACCCTTTATATCACAGGTGTCAAACTGGTGGCCCTCCAGCTGTTGCCAAACTACAAGTCCCATGAGGCATTTCAAACATTGACAGTTACAAGCATGACTCCCAAAGGCAGAGGCATGATGGGACTTGTAGTTTCGCAACATCTGGAGGGCCACCAGTTTGACATCCCTGCTTTATATATTCAGACTGCTAAAGTGTTTCAAAAGTACAGTTATCCTTTAACTTAATGTGGTTTTTGAGATAAACATCAAAAAGGGAAACGAAAAACAGCATTTCCAAATCATCTGATTAAAATGTAGAAAAACAAGAAAAACGATCAATAGACATATTTCATTACCGCCATTTGAGGGTCTGTTTGTTGAGGAACTTCCTCCATGTAAATTTCTACCATAATGGGAGCCAAGGGGTTAAATCTTTCATTTACTTGCACAAACAAATGCAAATACGCTTCTTGGCTCTCTTATAAAAGAAGAACCCAGAAAAGCCTACACAGAAATACAGAGTCGCCATGGTAACTGAAGATGCCTTCTTACCAATTGCCGAGCAGCCAACAATTGTACATTCCAGCTGCAATTTCGGCTCTACAGTAAACAGGGGTTGTGTTCAGAAAACGCTATACACTTTATATTGTTTGCCTTGATCAAAGCTTGTATTCATGGGTTCTTTGAGCAGTGCCCAGGGCCACCTGAGCGTTTGTGAGCAAGCACTGTTGGGCGCAGAGTAAAATCATCTAGAAAAGATACAAGTGTCAAGGCTGAAGGACAAGTCCAAGAGAACCGAGCTCCCATTCACACCTGATTCCAAAAGATCTACAACGCTCAAGACCAAGACGAGGAATCCAGGTTTTCTCAATGGGCCCATTCACACCCAAGTGTTGTTTAGCTTATCACATGACATTCAGAACAATACAGGAGCTTCTTTTGGGGTAAAATCACCATTTTCCCCTGGTGACTTTATTGGGAGCATCTGAAAAACCAATGTTTATGTGTGTTTTTCAGGGACACCTGAGCTTTTGTGAGCAAGCACTGTTGGGCGCAGAGTAAAAATCAATCATCTACAGAAGATACAAGTGTCAAGGCTGAAGGACAAGTCCAGGAGAACCGAGCTTCCATTCACACCTGATTCCAAAAGATCTACAATGCTCAAGATGAGGAATCCAGGTATTCTCAATGGGCCCATTCACATCCAAGTGTTGTTTGGCTTATCACATGACGTTCAGAACAATACAGGAGCTTCTTTTGGGGTAAAATCACCATTTTCCCCTGGTGACTTTATTGGGAGCATCTGAAAAACCAATGTTTATGTGTGTTTTTCAGGGACACCTGAGCTTTTGTGAGCAAGCACTGTTGGGCGCAGAGTAAAAATCAATCATCTACAGAAGATACAAGTGTCAAGGCTGAAGGACAAGTCCAGGAGAACCGAGCTTCCATTCACACCTGATTCCAAAAGATCTAGAATGCTCAAGATGAGAAATCCAGGTATTCCCAATGGGCCCATTCACATCCAAGTGTTGTTTGGCTTATCACATGACGTTCAGAACAATACAGGAGCTTCTTTTGGGGCAAAATCACCATTTTTCCCTAGTGAGTTTATTGGGAGCATCTGAAAAACCAATGTTTATGTGTTTTTCAGGTGCTTCCATTTAAGTCTACCAGGTCAAAGAGACACCATTCAGCTCCTGCACTACAAATGCACAAAAAATCCTCTAAATCACCTGGCTACGCTAAAGCTGGCCATACACTGTTAGTTCTTTTTTTTTGGTCAGCCAAGGAGCTCAATGAAAAAAAAAAACTAACAGATTCCTTGGCCCACACAAACAAGGTAGATGAAGGAATTCCCCTCTCCCCCCCCCCAGCCAGGATATTGTATACTGACAGCATCACCAACTGATTTCACAATACACCAATCAGCTGATTGGCTGAAGCTGATGATCAATAAAAAAAAAATGAAAAAAAAAATCCAAGATGTCTATACTTTTGAACAGGGCCTGTCACACACTGATCAAAATTCAGCAGGTCCCTGCTAAAGCGGTCAACTTTCAAGAAGTGTATGGCCAGCTTGATGAATGGGGCTTAGGTCAACTCTTTCTTAAACATTTTATTTGTCAACGGACAGCAGCCAAATGAATCCCAAACCTTCATACAGGGTCACTGTTTTGCTCCTGGATTTCCTGAATGAAGGGTTTATTAAATCTATCAATGGCTCAGTAATGATCACTTCAAATGGGCAGAAGTCTGAACGGAACCAATCCCTGTAAACCGTCAGGATGTAGATATTAATTCCCCATAAAATTAGATCATCAGGTCAAAATAGGGATTAAGTCTAAAGCCAGCCATAAATGGGTCAAAATTTGGCCGAGATACAATCCATGTATGACCTGGCTGATTGTACCCAAGTAAATCCATCGATCGACTTGGGTACAAACAGCCTGTCAATTTTTTTTTTACATACAATTACTGCCAGAAGCTATAGCCACTAGCAGTAATCATAGGCTCCCCATGTCCAACTACCCCCTCGCCGGCAGAACACAATAGCCAGTTAGTTACGATGGGTGGAAGGAAAGAAAATTGAATCATCTATGGGCTGCCTTAACCTAAGCTAATACAAATTTTTCATTTCAAAAGTTTTTACTGGTTTAAGGGAATACATAGATTGCATAGATTATCAACCAATATTGAATTGTAGGAGAAGGACAGGGCCGGGGAAGGGGAACAGAGAAAGAAAAAACTTGAGTCATGAGTGATAGGCTGGCCAAGGTGGCATATGAGGAATCAACTGAAGGTGCACAAGAGCTTGCCCAGGCAGATATCTCAGTGGCCATTCATCCATCATGCAACTCTCAAGATGCAGAATCCAATTATTCTCAATGGGTTCGTTTACATTTTAGTGTTGTTTTGTTTGATGCCTAAAGCTTGCAAAAGTACCTGACCTTCTTTGGGGCAGAATCATGTGTTTTTAGCTCCAAAGATTTTAAAGGAGAAGTACGGACAAAGCTCTTTTGGCTAGATTTCTCCTATGGATCACTGGAGTGCACTTCATTCTACGCTCCTTTGATCCTCGTTCAGCAGACATCCTGCTAAAGTCCACTGTTGGCTGACGTCACTCAGCTGGTCCAGACTCTGGAAAGATCCAGACTTTAAAGTTGGGATTCATCCAGATGCCTGGATCAGCAATTGACTCAGCCCCTCAGTAAGCCGCTGCCCCCCCACAGCACAGCCCTGGTGCTCCAATAAGCGCTGGAGGGGCAGGGCAGAGCTGGTGACTGTTAGAACTAAGTGATCAGAAGTTTTTGATCGCTCAGTTCTCATTCTTAGAAGCAGCGGGGAATAGATGCAACATCGGATCGATGCTGCGTCCACCTGGGTGAGAGTAAATGATTCTCTTTTATTGGGAGTGCCTGAAAATGTGTGTTTAAGCTCATTTTTTTAGGCACTCCCATTTAATCATCTATGGGGTGAGACGAGATTCTGTTCCAGTACAATAGGGGGGAGACAGCCTCTAAACCACCCAGCTACATTTATGCCAAGTATGAATTGGGGCTCAGATGAAGTAGAATGTATGGGTAGAGCATCTGGGAAGGGTGGGATACAGGAAGGTAGAGGAGCAGAGGGTAGGAAGTATGATAGAGATGGAGGAGAAAAGGCTGCACATCACATAGCAGAGCTTGTTTTTTTTTTTTTTTTTTTTTTTTATTTAAACTTGATAGTTCTTTCAACTATATGTATTGAATCTTGTCACAATGCGTTATATCGCAGTACAACGCTGTCTGCAAAATTGCAATCTGTTCTACTTTTTTTTCCAGCACAATATATTGCATGAACTAAAACAATAGGACAGAAGGTAAATGGCCCTGTCTATGCGTTAGGTAATGCTGGCCAAGGGGGCTGATGTGAATGAGTTTCAATAATTAATAAATGATTCACAAAAAAAAAAAAAAAAAGTAAAATTGCAACCAATCACAATTTAAATACTAACTGTGGTGCAAAGAAAATAGTATTATTATTATTACACAGTATTTATATAGCGCCAACAGTTTGCTCAGCGCTGTACAATGAAATACATGAGGGGTTCGAGGGCCCTGCTCCTTGGAGCTTACAATCTAGGAGGGAGGGGAGAGTGGTACAGGAAGAAATAGCTGTGGGGATGGAGTGGTGGGGAGAGTGGAGGAGATCAGCAGTTAGGTGAGGGTGGGGTAGGCTTCCCTGAAGAGATGGGTTTTCAGGGTACGCCTAAAGGTGAGGAGGGTAGGTGACAGTCTGATGGATTGGGGTAGTGAGTTCCAGAGGATGAGGGAAGCCCTGGAGAAGTCCTGGAGACGGGCATGGGAGGAGGAGACCAGGGAACTGGAGAGAAGGAGGTCCTGTGAGGAGCGGAGAGTACGTTTTGGGTGGTATTTGAATATCAGGTCGGTGATGTAGTTTGGGGCAGTGTTATGAACAGCTTTGTACGTCAGTGTTAGTATTTTGAATTTTATGCGTTGGGCAATCGGAAGCCAGTGGAGGGATTGGCAGAGGGGGGTGGCGGATAGGGAGCAGTTGGTAAGGTGGATGAGTCTGGCCGCAGAATTCAGGATAGACTGAAGCAGGGATAGCCTGTGTTGGGGTAGACCGGCGAGGAGGGAGTTACAGTAGTCAAGTCGGGAGATAAGGGAGTGAATGAGTTGCTTTGTAGTTTCTGGAGTTAGGAACGTGCGTATTTTGGAGATGTTGCGGAGGTGGAGTCTGCAATCCTTAAAAATGATGAGCTTATGTTGTCACCCTCACCAAGGGCGGACTGACCATTTGGAAACTGGGCCCGGGGTCAGTAGGGGGCCCCATGAGATGCCCCTGGTACCTTTTTCATAGGCTTTTTTGAGTTTGGGCAAGGACACAGGGGCCCCATGATCCCCTATTGCCCAGGGTCCCCATGAGTTGTCAGTCCCCCCGTGACCCTCACACACTATAAAACACCCACTTTGGGTACCTGACATTGGGGTGGATTTCATAAATGCAAATAGACTGTACACTTTGCAAGTACAGTTGCAATGTTCAAGTGCAGTTACTCCAGAGTTTAGTAAATGAGGGGACGCTCTGCTGACCTCCATCATCCAATTAAGTGCAAGCAAAAATGCTGTTTTTTTTTTCTTTGCAAAGTGAAGCTTCATCTCATTTACTGGGAAAAATGAGGGCAGCTGCACTTGCAAAGTGCACAGTCTATTTGCCTTTAGTAAACCCAGCCCATTGTTTTCAGTGGCTTCTTCACAAAAAGTAACCTTTTTTTATTTGTGCTGTGACATTTCCTCTTGTGGTTACATGTAAGTTTGGAGAAAAAAAAAAACAACAAAAGAAAACAGCATCTTTCAAGCAGCTGCTATAAAATGTTATACTAATGATTTTATTGCCATCATTTCAATATGTCACTATATTTGCCATCTGTGCTCAGAACACGTGTAAAGATTCATTTATGACATGGGCCATGTGCACCTCTTATCTATATTTAAAGGTAACGTATACATTTGTGGATTTAAAAGGTAATGTCAGGAAACGAGTTAAATTACAGAGCAACAAATACAAACTCTGAAACTGTACTTAAAGTAGATGTGAGCTGGTAGCCTATCAACTCATAACCATGGCAGCTTCATTTATTTATTTATTCCAGGTACTTATATAGCGCCGTCAATTTACACAGCACCAGGGGCGGGCTGACCATTTGGAAACTCGGGCACTGCCCGAGGGCCTGGGGTCAGTAGGCGGCCCCATGAGATTCCCCTGGTACCTTTTTCATAGGCGTTTTTGTGTTTGGGCAAGGACACAGTGGCCCCATGATCCCCTATTGCCCGGGGGCCCCATGAGTTGTCAGTCCGCCCCTGCACAGCACTTTACATATATATTGTACATTCACATCAGTCCCTAACCTTCAAGGGGCGCACAATCTAAGGTCCCTAACTCACATTCATACATACTAGGGCCAATTTAGACAGGAGCCAATTAACCAACCAGCATGTGATTTGGAGTGTGGGAGGAAACCGGAGTACCCGGAGAAAACCCATGCAGGCACAAGGAGAACATGCAAACTCCAGGCAGGTGGTGCCATGGTTGGGATTTGAACCGACAACCCTGACAGGCAGAAGTGCTAACCATTTAGCCACTGTGCTGCCCATTTAATATGCAACATAAAAGAAACCTGCCAAAAATGTCTCAAAAATACCTTTTTTTATGGTCATGTGACTGCTATTTCCTCTCTGAGTCCTGTGGTCTAAGAGCTGGGAGCAGAGACAATAGATGCCTCTGAGGTTTGCCCCAGCACTATTGACAATGAGGCTCCTGCTGGGAACCACTGTCAGACAGATCAGCATGAAAGAAAGGGGCATGGCAGCTAAACAGACTATGGGAGATAAAGGGCACGCTGTGTATCTGCACAGTATCCTGAATTTTCAAGCAGGAAGAACAGATATTGAAACTGACCACGCCAGCATGGATCTGCTTCTGCGCTTGGCATGGTGAGAATACAACAGGTAAGAAGAGGAACTGGCAGGGTGAACTAGTAAATGGAGATCACAAAGACCCAGCTACATTTACCCAAACAAGATCAAAACATAACATGTAATATGAATTTTTGGGGGTAACATACAATTTAAAACTGGCCATATATGTACAGATTTCTCTCATTCAGGCCAATTGTTCTTGGCATAATGAGAACACAACAGGTAAGAAGAGGAACTGAAAGGATAACCCAGTAAATGGAGATCACAATAAAGAATCAGCTACGTTTGCCCACAACAAGATCAAAACATAGCAAGTGATATGAATTTTTGGGGTAACATACAATTTAAAACTGGCCATATATGTACAGATGTCTCTTGTTCAGGTCAATTGTTCTTGGCATATGAGAACACAACAGGTAAGAAGAGGAACTGGCAGGATAACCCAGTATTGGCTGAACAAAAGAAATCCAAAGATTCCCCTATCCAGGCTAAACAGCACAGATGGAGGAATCTCCCACTGAAGACTATTGGATTCCTACAGCTGGTTAGCAAACCAGAAAAGCGACTGCATCTGATTAGCTGCAATCAAAGTTTGTCCAATTTTTCTTTTTTTTCCAAAAATATTTTTATTAGAAGAAAAGCAGGGTATAACAGTGTACATACAAGTCCAACTTTTCATTCAACTGACTCCTTCAAGTTTTCAATCGAACTTTGTTGAGCCGGATGGTGTCCATAGGACCACCAATGGCTTGATTTTCTGGAACTGGCCCACATTTCGAGTAAGGTATGGCCAGTTTAAAAGTGGAGCTAAACTTTAAATTAAACAAATTGCGAGAAGGCAGCTTTTTATTGCAGAAGAGACTTGCCATGTTCTTCTCCAATAAGACACGTACCTGCCTGTTCCCAGACTTTTATTGAATGTTCACTGAGCCATGCATGCGCAACATGGCAGACATTCCCGACACACTGGGGTGGTGTCAGAATGAATAACTAACAAGCGCATGTATGGGAGTCACATCATCCCCAACCAGCCAATCACGCATCCAGAAGAAGCCTGGAGAGAAGATGTTAGTGGCTGGTGATGAATCCAACAGTTTGCACTGCTGGAAGGTGGAGATGAGTATTCTGCCGGGAAGAGGAGTTCTGCTTTAAGTCAGTAATTCCTCTTTTTATCTGATTAAGAATCAGTCATAAACTCACTAAAACTAGAGGCAACAGTCTTTCCATGGCACTGCTGGGTGAGACTGCATGCTCCTGTCACATGATCCTGAACAATAAAGTGCTTATCTCTTGTTCCAACACACATGTGAAAGTCGCAGTAGGCAGTGATAAAAATAATAAAACATTGCGCCTACAGGCTCAGATCATTCGCTACTCAGAAAATAAAGATATTATCAACAAAAAAGATTGTTTGAATGTGCACACAAGAATCTGAATATCATGCCTTAGGGCACGGGTGTCAAACTGGTGGCCCTTCAGCTGGTTCCAAACTACAAGTCCCATGAGACATTGCAAGATTGACAGTCACAAGCATGACTCCCAAAGGTAGAGGCATGATGGGACTTGTAGTTTTGCAACAGCTGGAGGGCCGCCAGTTTGACAACCTGCCTTAAAGGATCATAATTTTAATAATTTGTCAAATTTTTTTTGACTCTTGATCAGGGATCACGTCAAGTCTGACCACTGCTTAACCCCAGGTTCACATTTGTGCGGGTGGTGCCGCTGCGGATCCGCACGAAAATCCATGCAGCCGCACAACCCAGAGAAATGCGGACCCGCTGGCAAGTGCCATTAATTCTAATGGCACGTCGCCCGCATTGGAAAACGCAACCGTACTGGGTACCGAGGTTCCTGTGCGGGCTGCGTTTTCCAAAGAAGCGCAGGGACTTCTTCTCTGGGTGTCACGGGCACAGGAGTCCATTCAAATGAATGGGCTCTCGTGCCCGTACATAACGCGGCCTGCACGGCCACATATGTGATTCAGGGGTCACTGTTCAATAGCTTATGAATAAACCATCTTCCGACTCAAGAGTGTGCATAACAATGCGAAATAACAGACCCCTGCAGTTGTCTACATTCCTCCTAAAAGGATGAGTCCAGCTTTAGTAATACCAGTATTTAGGGTGTAGTATATAACTATATAGCACCTGTCTGAGCCCCTGATTCCACCCCCCATGACAGAAGGGGCGGGTTCTTCTTTCCACACTATCATCATTTAAAAAAAAAGTGTGCCTGTGCAGGGCTCCGCCCACACAGCTATGTCATTCATTTACAGAAATCTGTGAAAGAATGAACTACAAATCCCATCTGCCACCGCGGCAGACAGCTTTTGAGCTGTGTGGGCGCTGTCGTAGTTCATTGACACTACCTACAGCTTTCCCATACAGAGGTACAGGCAGAAATCTGTAGGAGGTGTCTGCAGGAGCCTGATGTTGTACCCATGATCTTCTGATGAAAAAAAAAAAGAAATAACAAATACACATTTTTTTTACCTGACAAAATATGTGCATTTTTTTTTTTTTTTTTTAAACTTGGCCTTTAACTATATGCTCTGTTATTTGACACTGGTATGTACTCTCAGATGGTGCAAAGCGAAAGCATCAGCCTCAAGGTAACTAAAGCGTCAAATATAAATCATTCAGAAGAAAGACTACATAGTTATAAGCATTAAAGACATAAAGGTAAGCACAGTTGTGACTGGTTCTCTTCAACCGCAAAATTTCAAATGACACAAATGTATTAAAGTTTAAAATTCCCTGCTTATCAATATTTGTTAGATTTACTTTACAATATTTAAATACGTTAATAAATAATAGTATTCCCTGTCTTTTGTAGTTTCGTATTGATTTTTTTCTATGTTACTTTTGAAAAATCAATAAAATAGAATTTCTAAAAAAAAAAAAAAAAAAAAAAAAAAAAAAGTATATATTTATACATTATATATTTTTTTTATATTTATAATTTTTTTTATATTAATAATTTTAAATGTAATTTAAAATACTTTCTATACAGTTTCTGCGTCTATTATGCCACCTAAAGTGTAAAGGGTCCATTCACAGTGTGGACTCCTTCAAGCAGATGATCACCTGCATACAGCGGATTCTAATGGCAAGAATCAGCAGATTCTATTGGCTGCGATCACACATGTATTCGGACAGCAGCGGACACGTAGCCTGTACATAGAAATTACAGGCTAAGAGGAGCAACGCGCTGTTCACATGTATCCACACACCCAGCGCTCTCTCTTCTCCCCTGCAGCTGCTGCTGGCTGATACAGGGAATCATGTGACCAGAGTGGAGCAGCATATAAACAGGTAAATATGCCCATCTTTGTTACACAGGTTAGCAAGCATAAGGCTACTTTCAACTGAGTCATAGCAAAAATGCATACGTGTTTTTTGCCATGTTTGTTGTGTCTTTAACAAGACACGCGAATCACAAACTGCACCACAATGCAACGCGGGGGTGTTTTTTTCATGCTTTAGAAGCACCAAAAATGGAGCAATCAGGATTTTAAAAAATGCACCAGACCCACAATGGATCAGTTTGAAGAGTTCAATAGGACTACATGGTCACACTTTTTTCTTCAGCTTTTTTTTTTTTTTTTAAACGCAAAAGCAGAAGAAACCCGGATCAGTGTGAAAGTGTTTGGAGGGGGGAGGGAGTATTTTTAAAGATTAGTCACACAAAACCCCCAAAAATGTGGTATCCTGTCCACCCCTTATCAATGCAATTCAACTGCGATGTTTTTGCGGATAAAGCCTGATTCACACTCATGCAATTTCAAATTGGACTGCACAATGGAAACCACATTCATTTCGGTGGTACCTGTCCACATCAATGCAATTCAACTGCGATGTGAATTTAGGGAAGGATGGTGTGTGTGTGTCAGAGGATCGTTCCCTAAATTTGGATCGCGGTTGCATTGATGTGGACAGGCACCACTGAAATAATTGTGATTTCCATTGTCATGCGATTTTGTGCAGTCCACATTGAAACTGCATGAGTGTAAACCAGGCTTTACTAATCTTAAAAAATACTACCTCCCCCCCAAAACACTTAGGATGCTTTCACACCGATCTGGGTTTCTTCTGCTTTTGTGTTTTAAAAAAAAAAAAAAATAAAAAAAGAATATATATATATATATATATATATATATATATATATACATATATACTTTTTTTTTTTTTTTTTTTTTTCAACCTGCTCTGGTTCAGGAACGTGATCAGGCTCCCTTGTGTCAGCTGCAGGGGGAAGGAGAGAGCACCGACAATGGCTGCACCATGGAATCCTCTGGGTAACGTCATTGCGCCTGGCTTTTACAGCTGCTGCTGGGGGATCCTGTGACCAGACCTGAGCAGGTTGAA